AACATGGGGTCATGTTGTGCCAGTTTATTCTTGATCAACGCAAAAAAAAACAAAAACAAGATGTGAACAAAAACCCAGACCGTGTTTATCGGCAGCGTTAAATTGTTTTAGGGAAGATTATTCTTTTAATACTGGTGAACAACTGGGTTACTTTATGCATGAGGAAGAACAGCTGTTGAAAAGTGAACACAAAGGAAAAGTGAGTCAAACAGTGCAGGAATGTGATTCAGCAATCATGTAAAAGGAGAAGGAGAGAGATCCGGACAAAGAGGAGAAGAATGCAGCCATGTGCCGGGGTGTACACCTGTACCCAGAACAGGTGTTTTCCACCCAACTTGCAGGGCCCCTGATTAGGAACTGCCACTCTTGCCTTGCCCCATCAAAGGCTAACTTATCCCCTATCAGTGCAGCTCAGGCCCTGGGTAAAATGATGGTTAACTATCTAGCAGAAAGCTACAGGCTGCAGGTTGACGGAACCACCGCCTTCCCAAGAAGGAAAAGTTATAAAATTGATTGTTTTTTCCAAATGAAACTGAATTATTGAGACATAAGATGCTAGGTGTTTTTATTACCTTTATCTTCTGCACTATTGTCACAGTGGAACAAATATATTCCAGCACTCTTGAATAACAAGCTACTGTCATAAAGGGTTATTATGAATCATAATTACTTACAATAATAGCTATTCTCTGATTTGCTATTACAAAAAGACAGTGTGCTCACAGTGAGGGTATTAGAGTGAAGTGAATAGAGCACACGGTAATTTATACTGTATAACATGTCCTTTTCCTGGTTAATCTGCACATACATGGGGAAGCAATCAAAATATGGGGAGAAAAAGACTAACTATAATTATATGCAGCTGCAAAAGCAGGGGGCTAAAAGAGGCTGCATTGCCCAGCACTAAACACTTTCACCTGCACATCTATGTTGCCCGGAGTTAAACACTTTCACCTGGTCAGAGCCACATTTTCAAGTTTTAATCATTCATCCACCAGGGAATTACTGTGTAAGAATGAGTTTTTATTAGACTTACAACGATAATATGACAGGCAGCTTGGAGGCAATGCTGGGAAGCGCTTCTCAAAAAGCAGCAGACTCTTTGGTAAATAAATCGCTTTTAAAGTTTCACGGGAGCAATTCTGATTTACATGCACTGATGCAACTTCAACATTGCTGCATGTTGGTCAAAATGTTTAGCTTGTTCTGATGGTGGCAAAGTCATGGGTTTATTAAAATTTAAAGAAGTTATTCCCTGGGGACTGTGAATGTGCTGTGAATTCCAATCATGTCAGATTTTGGGAAACTGTGACCTAATGGAGGCTGTAGAGGAAGGTTTGTGGCCAACAAAAAATTAGGATTCATCCTCTGGGAATTAGAAACATCCACAACAGAAGCAGTACAAATGTAAAGCCATGGAAGAAAGGGTGTTTGTCTGAATATGGTCATCATAATTATGGTAATTCAACCACTGTGAACAATGAATATCCATTCCAAAGCAACCTAGTCATCAGACCATGTGCTAGCAAAGGAGGAAAGCCACAAACTTACTCTTGCCTGCTTCATTAAACCCTCAGTGGTATTTATTGTGTTACCAACAGTACAACAGTGCATCTTTTGCGTGCTTCATTAAACCCTCAGTGGTATTGATTGTGTTACCAACAGTACAACAGTGCAAAACTGAATGCAATACAAGGCCACAAACGTCTCAGCTTGAGGCAGAGGCATCTACTGCCTTCCTCTCTCTTAGCTGGTCATGTTCCTGTATGGGCACCTCTCACTCATCTTTTAGTCGGTTCATCTATCCATCCATGTTCTGCTTCTCCTTCAACAACAGCCCCTATCTGGAGGTGAGTCGGTATCTTTTTACTTATCACACAAGCTGTGGCTCCTTCAGCAACAAACAGGTGCCAATAAAAAAGTCACCAGTTTTCATAGACAAGAGACAAAATCCCAAGACTTCACTCCTTCCTGCTGCCTGACCTGCAGTGTACCAAACTGCAATATGTAAGTTTGCAGGTGGGCAGTCCACATGGCAGCAGGTGGGACTGAGCCTGACTGGACCTCATGGGTATAGGCCCAGAGATCAGGCACTGTGCTGTAGGCTGCATCGTTCCAAAAGGATCTGTGAACAGCTTGTAGACTGGCTGCATCATAGACTGGAATGTAATTTGTCTTCGAAGATACAAGAAAAAGCAGATTCGTCAGACAACACAACCCAGAGGGTCACAGGGGGCATGTAAACCCATCCACGACAGTACTATAAAGGGTGTGACTCTGGGGGGCAAGGTGGCAGTTCTCGGATAGCTATGGCAGTGACATTCAGAGGGGGTAGTGACTGGCAACTCCCTATAAAGTTATAGAACAGTTTGCTGAGAAAGAATTTGCATTTTTATATTTTTACATAGTTTTGAAACTGCCGCACTTTCATATTTCAATTTAAGGGAAAGATATGAGGCTACCAAATAATTCTGTGAAATAGACAGATACCATTATCTACCACAGGGATGATGTTGTTCAGGGGGGGAATGCGGTGAATGTCAGACTGTACAGGGGAATTTGGGTTTTGGCAGGCATCACTCTCTATGGAGCTGCTGGTGCTCACACATCAGAGCTGCATTTCCTGCAGGCACCCCAAGCACTACACTGAGGTGACAGAAATACATGTATACAGACATATACACACATTCACATGCTTGCATGCACACACCAATACACATACAGATATACATAGACACACTCACACACTTTCTGTACATACATGAGTTCCCTGCAGCCATAAGCACTGCTCTGTAACCTAATTAAGAGAACAATTAAGTCTGAGGTGATGAGGACTGGAAATGAGCTCTGTGTGTGTGCAATCATCAGGATCACACAGTGTCTGAAAAATGAATAAAGTCTGTTGCCAGAACATCACACAACTGCCCCCTTACCCTCATCTTTAGCTGCAACTCTCAGTTTTTCTAAATCAAGGCTGAATTAGTTTTTTTCCTACTGCACTTTATCAAATTCACTCTCACACATCTTGCACTGCACTGTAAAAACATTGTTTTTCTGTTTAAGTGGTTTTATTAAAATGTATCCTACCTTTAATTTTCCTGGGTGCATTTTATATCATTGCATGCTTTGACATTTTGTGTTCATGTCTTTTTATGCACTGTTCTTTGCTGTTCAGTGATGCTACACATAAATTTTCTGTCTTACCCCGTCACCTTTTTAACACACATCACAAATATGCTCTAAAACTTCAGAGAAAAACATATTCCACTGAGACAATGTCCTCGAACCAAAATGTGGCTCAAATACCGATTCTTAAAATGGACTTCCCTGAATTTACTGTAGGTTCACATCACAACACAATTTTAATAAATGCTGAAAATGTGCCTGATTGTTTGTTTTGTTTTTTGTTATATAAACTCTTGGACCACTGACAAAACTCATATTCCATCTGTACTTCTACTAATTTGTGCTTATACTACACTGCCGGTCTGGGCTGGCAGCACAAACAGGATTCTGCAGCCACAACTCCAAGAAGCAGGGGAATATTAAACAAAGGAGGCGAGGGCAGACACTGAAAAATACCTGCTGGCCCAGGACTGAGGCTCCATATGCCCAGCTCTACTCTGACTGCTGGCTGGCCAACCTGCATGCCCACTCTCTCCCAGGCCTGAACACACACTGTACCTACACACAGGCAGACACACGCTTCACTGGGGACAAGCCAGCAAGAGTAATCCTGGCCTACTTTTCTGCCCGGAGCATACTGCAGCACCATCTACACACACTGCTGCTAAAGAGGAGGGAAAGGAGGTGCAGGAGCGGTGGATTAAGAATGAGAGGAGGTGGACGGGAAGTTAGAAAGAGGGTGGAAGGGTGAAGGAAGATAGCAGTTAGAAATTGCAAAGAGTGATGGAAAGGAAAAGAATCGCCAGGGAAGGAGGGCTGGTAGTCTCAATTTATTCCAAATTAAGTGAAAAAAGGGGAGGGATACAAGAAGGAAGCATGGGAGGAAGAATGACAGAAACCAACTGAAACAGGACTGGAGAGAGTCCGTGAATCCTAATGGAAACCAGTTCAATGGTGGAGCCTCGTGCCAAATGAGACGGGGAAATTGCTGGCTGCACTTTTCCAAATAAGCATATTAGTAAGTGCCACATCCCCTTGCTGGGAGTTCTGGTGCATATTCTGAGTCTGCTCTCACTGACAGCATGAAAAATTATCCCTGGAATATGTAAATAAATGATTACATCGCACACAACCGCCATGCACATTTACAGTACACTCCTCTTGCATATACCTCAGAACATGTGCAAGACAGAAAATAAAAGAGTCGTGCTTATGTAAAAACATACAGGATATACTGTCTGCTTGTAAATAAACTGATAATTTATATATTCAGGCACTGTGGTGATTCAGACAGCACAGCCCTTCAGAGGGTACACGTGCTGTAGTCGATGTTTGCTTTGACTCAGGGTGTAATTACTGTGCATATCCAGAGACTGTACCAAATATTTTATGAATCATGTTCCTATACATCTGTGGTCGTCTGTTTCCAGAATGCAAATTAGTTGCCATGGAAAACGGTGTTTTTACTCAAAATGGAAAAAAGATGGTTTTATATAAGTAAATGAACAGGGATTTGTCACGAAATGAAATCGTTATTAATTTAGGATCAAAGACAGACAGAGAAGACATGTGTGTATATAAAAATCTGTCACATCTATTCTGGAGGAAAACAAAGATTAAAACAATAAGAATGAAATGAATTAAGTTAAAACTCCAACTGGTGACAAATTAAAAAGGTCCAAAAGACCCACTATCTGACCTTTAACAGTTATGCTGCCATTTTCACCCCCTTAAGCAAAACAACTACATTACATTAGTTATGGAAAAAGATTAATGCGGTTTTTCAATTCCTCACAAAAAAAAGCAAGTCAGAAAACATTCACTTTGCCTTTATTTTGCTGAATGTCACTCATCTCAGAACAAATGTTTCTACAGTACATACAAGGTAAATGTAATAGCACAGAAGTTATTGCAACGCCGTACAGTATCACCACAAACTATGGTCTCAGAAGCTTCTAATACAACAGGTATCAGGTGTGTATGTGTGTGTATATAGATATATACACACACACACACACACACACACACACTCACTCATCAGTTAATTATCAACATCCTTCTTATGATTCTGTTCCCATATTACAGAGGTTATATAATGAGGCCTTATGCAGTGTGAATCACTGATACTCTGGTCTGTTCTTACATGTTAACTAAACAGAGATGCCTGATTTCTGTTGGCAGGGAGAATGAAAACATCCTGAGCAATCCCAAGGCCTTTCTGCCTTTAGGAAAAGGGACAATATGTATTGCATAGGAATGGGGAAGGGTATTTTCAGGGCAAACACACACACTGCCCCCATAGACAGAGACAGAAACACATCCCATCACTCTCACTGATGAAAGGTGTGTCTCTGCTCATGGGTCGTTTGTCGCGGGCATTTTCATGGGCGACTCACTGGAGAGTGCAAGGACCTTTTCATCTTTCACCAAGACAAGTCTCGGACACTGGGCCCCTGTGACAGACGACCCACAATTCACTGGAGGAAGAGTGGAGCTAATGACCTTGACTCCATGCGTTGGTAATGATTGTATCCAGATTTCTGGTGTCACACACCATGTCAGAGCCCACCCACACAAGCATGTTGTTGTCACTGTGCATCAGACACTAGGAGGCAGGGAAAGACCTCACACACTCATCTGATGGTCATCAATTTCAATGCAGAAAATAAAAACATGCTAGCTGGAATTATACTAATATACACCGCAGTCTTCACAATATATAAAGCTGATTTTGTATTAGTCATCCAGCTCTGACATGATGGAAAATCCTTTGTGACCACAGCTAGCATATATAAAAACTGTTTACATTTATTTCATTGGACAATACATTTTTAAATTAATTATGAGAAACTTCAGCTTGTTCATCGGCATCCACACTTCCAAAATAGTTTGTGGTGTCCTATAAGCATACCGAGTACATGTTTGCAGCTTCATTTATGATAAGGTGTGATTTCTTAGCATAAAAAATTAATTCTGAATATCAGCACCAAATAACTGCTATAAGAGACGCATTAAAAACCTGATACCGATATGTCCTCGAAGTTTCCATACTGTAAACTGAGTTGATTAGTACTGCCATTAAAAAAGCTGCCATTTTTATGTGATTCCCACATGCTCCTCTAGGTTTCACTGAGAGAATGTTGCAAGGTAACTTTAATTATCTCTTCTGGGAAGTATCAATAAGGCAAGAAATAAAGATATCACAATAATACAGCATCCTTGGATCTCTACAAGCACTCCCCAACACTCCCATTCAACCTTTCCCTGTACACTCATCCATGAATGCATCCACCACAACACAGCATGTATCTACAGTACCATGTTCTTGCACATTTTCCGTTTTGGATCCAGACTAAAAACTCTTTACAGTAGTGTTTCAGTGTGCGGAGTGCTAAAATAAAACTCAACAATATGCTCCCCTTCGTCCACCTACATGCTCTCCAAAGGAAAACTCCCAACAGTTGTCTGCAATGTACAAGTTTGACATGCCTTGTCTTCACATGTAACTGTATCCATTCAGATGGCCCACCCAGCTGCTTCTCATCACCTGGTGGAGAAAACGCCAACTATGATTAGTAACAGCACCATTGATTTTCACTGAGTAGCTGCTCAACTAAAACATGTCAGAGATATTAAACCACTGCCTTTTTTTAAAGGGCACATTTCACATTCATCGAGACAGATCAGGATCTTCAGGGCGTTCGTGATTGCACTAAGTATGAGTGCTGACAAGAAGGTGATGGCTCACTGTGCCAGACAGCGTAGGATCTGGTCTCTCACAATTTATCTACAGAGAGTAATATCATACTGACCTCATGAAAAACTGAGCAGTTAAGTACTTTTGTCTCTCCGAAGCCCACTGAGACTCACCTCATAGTATCAACCCACACATGTTCAATCTCCAGAAATAATCATCCATTACTAATCACAGAATCATGTAGGCAAAAGATGTAATTATAATTTTTTTTTCTTTATCTACCATTGTAAAACCTTTAGGGGTGTGACACAATAACCTTTCATATGCCAAATGCTTCAGTTGGAATTGAAAATGAGATGGAAGGACATTATAAAAAGATGAATAAAAGGGTGGGGAGGGGTTGCGAGAACTATGAAAACTGAACTCTTGCTTATGAATATGCATATTTAAGACCGACCCTGGTCGGTGTGAAAGACAATGGGGGCTCCAAAGTTTGCTGGCCCCTCAGTGTATTCAGGCCCGAATCATACAAAGACACAAATTTTCTGCTGAGGCCTTGTCAGGGATGGTGTGGAGGGAGACTCAAGCACCCCTGAGTGTCCCTGAATCAGACAGACAGGAAGTGATCCTAGAAGAAGCCCCGTCCCCACAGCGATTCCCATGAATTCCCACAATTCCACTGCCCTGTTGGTTGGTTACTTATTCAGCGACGCGCCACCGAGCTCCCCTTGAACACAGTCATAAAGGGACAAGAGGGGGGTGAAGAGTGAGACCGAGAGAGACAAAGTTATATTTCATTCACCGTCACAACATGACTCAGATAACAGTAGATTGGCCTTTTTAGTCAGGACAAAATTGCCTTTGTGTCTGAAGTTACAAGAGCGAAAGTGCCAAATGAAAAAGGGGTGCCTCAAAGGTTAATCCATAACAAGTGAGATCAGAGCATCCCTTCTTTAAGGAACAGAAGAAAATCTCTCTCTTTTCTTGTTCCCTCCTTTCTCTTTTATGTCTGGCCATAAAGAGCGGGTTTTATGTACACTCGAATGGCTGAAGCTAACAGAACATGCATGCGAATGAGAGGGAACCACAGGGGACCGATATATCTTTGCAAACATACAGTATATGCGCACAGAGAAAGAGAAGAATGCAGAAAAAAAAGTTATAAAGACAGATAAAGAGAGACAAAGAAGTAAGCAAGATGGCGAAGAAAAACATGTGGAGATGGAAAAGGGAGGGTTAAAGGAAGATTATGATGGAGAGAGGAAGAGAGATAGAGAGAGACAGTCTGGAGGAAAAAAAACTAGAGGAAAAGCAGCCTGGTGCTTTAATCGCTAAATCAGAGCTGAAGGAGTGAGGCAGGCATGCAGTCATCATAACAGATCCCATCTGAGAATGCTATTACAGGCCTGGCTCCAGTTGTGGCTAACACTACTGGGCTTACAACACCAGCGATGAACATTTCTATTTCAGCCATGACCTGTATTTGAAAAACCGTCTGCTTAATATCAGAGCATCCATCGATTTCCAAGCTGTGATTGTGTAGTACTCAAAACAAAAAGCTGCCTCAGAACAGCATGTGTGAAACTCTGCCTTTTGCTCCCTTCAGCTGAGAGCATTAAAAAAACAAAAAAAAACACTGAAACACACACATTTCAAAATATTTTAATTACTATGGCACAAATCAGCATTCCTCTCCACCGCACATCCACTCAAACAATTTCACACAGTATTGCTGAAGCAGGTCTAGCCCTGCATACCCTTCCTAAAACGTGTTCTAATTAAAGTTCCTCCTTTTTGAACCAAGAAAGCAAGAGCAGTATGGGTATATCTAAATTAATGTCTCAGGAGTTCCTAGTTGTTGAAATAATGCAGTTTGTTGCATTAATGCTTTGTTGCTCCTTAAACCTTTATTCCAGGGTCTTTTGTTTTTTTTTTGGAGGAGGGGCAAGTCTGAACTGCATAAGGTTGCACAAACTATAAGTATATACTCTAAATGGCTAAAATGTAACAAAAATATGATCTGATATTAGTAAAAAACAAAAGTTTGCATTTAATAGTGCTCTAAAACCTAGAATGCAGTACCATTGAGAACATTCTGCAAACAAAAGGCTGTTATATTATATCCCGTCACATACTTACAGCCGTTCTGTTGAGTATATGCCAACATACCTGCAGAACTAGGGGACGGACTGATAGAAAGGAAGATGGTATGAAGTGAGGGGGAGGAAGGAGAGCTGCTACAGGGAAGCAGGAGTCTGGAGTTAAATATTAATCTGTGGTGATTCATCTGCTGTGGAAGCCTCCAGGCTCCTTCTGCACATCGCCAGCTGTTGGCCCTGCCTCTTGGTCTTGGACCTGAATGTGAAAGGCTGGGCTGCAGCCCAGAGTGCTGCCCAGGCATGAGCTTCCTTGGCTGGTGGAAAGGCAGCAAAGGCCAGGGCAGGTGGGCATGGCCAGAGTGACAGTGTGCGATAGTGTGTGTGTGTGCTGTGGGATGTTACACATACTGTACAACCACAAATCTAGGGTCTAAGTGTTGCGCTGAAGTCTCAACACTATGTCAAACCCATGAAGGGCAATGAGACTTGACACTGTCAGGCTGTAAGCTACGGAGAGGCAGTAGGGATTCAAGGATGGAGGCATAGAAGAGTCATGGAGGCTGGAAGGAAGGTGTTGAGTGAACTGCATCATGAGCTTATTGTGTTTTTGTGTAGACATATCTGTTTAAAAGTTATAATAATCAAATATCATATAAATTGCATCAATTTCGCTACATTTAGTATCTGATTCAGTGATTCAACCTATACTCTGTTCATTAAAGCTTTTACACTTTTCAAATATTTTCCATGAAATAATCTTGCAGTGCACAGGAATGGGTAAGTTTTACTTTTCATGGCATTTACAAAGAAGTTTATTTCAGAAATCAGTAGTAAGCACAAACAGTAAAGCTAAGACACCTGTGGAAAATCTAAGGAAACTGTAGTACATCAGAGTGCTACCCAAGCTCTTTGCAATCTCTCAGAGGTGCAGTACAAAAACACCAAAGCAATGACAATAACATAACTTAATGTCTTTATCCGTGTAACTGAATCCACAAGACCAACAGCAGTTACAGTAATCACCTAGAATATGAACCATACTACAGAAGACAGAATACAACACAGCCCGTGTGCATTTAAAACCTGCCTTTCATATCATGCTCATCAACTGTATCTTGGACATCCATTTTGTTTGAACATGTGTCCTGGCGTGTCAGTGGTTACACACAGCTGCTGCTTTGGCCATCGGTCAAAAGCTAATGTAGCTTGGGTGACTCCACTACTCTAAGACAACCAGTCTCACCACTGTGGGAAGGACAAAGAGGGTCTGAGGAAGCAACAAGGGTGCTGGTGCCGGTGCCAAAGACTCGAGTCTCACAAAATGTTATGACCTGAGCAGGCACTGGTTCACCTATCAGATGTTGTGGCCATGAAGAATGAGAAAACAGTAAATTCACTGACAAGAGATAACAGATGACACTAGTTTCAAGCATACTGTAAGGATTTAAATGCCTTCTACCCACTGACTTAACTTTGTAACAGCAAAGTAGAAAAGTCAAAGCGTAGGTTTTTGGGAGTAACAGTTCCCCAACTCTTAAGTTAGCAAAGCAATGGCTGCTTGGGTTTTCTCTTACAAGTTTCCGATGCTGGTGAAGATAGTTGAAAGGGAAAACAAAAGCAACAGAGGCTCAGTTATCTGCTCCTTTTCAGTAACACGACATCTTAAAAAAAAAAAAAAAAAAAATCTATCCATTCTCTATGCCACTTGTTCCTGAATAGGGTCACGGGAGGCCTGGAGCCAATCCCAGTTGACATTGGGTGAGAGGCGGGGTTCACCCTGGACAGGTTGCCAGTCTGTCATGGGGCTGACACTTAAGAGACAGGCAACCACACACACACTCACACTACGGGCAATTTAGAGTTGCATGTCTTTGGGCTGTGGCAGGAGGCCGGAGCACCCGGAGAGAACATACAGACTCCACACAGACAGGCCCCGGGTCAGCCCTGGAACCTTCTTGCTGTGAAGCAAAAGCTCTAACCACTGCGCTGCTGTGCCACCCTCTTAAAAATACATTTCCAATGCAAATCCTGTGCTCACTGATTACCCTTCTCCATCAGTGACTGAAAGACAATAAACATCACAATAATCTCCTATTCAGCTGAATGACACCAGGCAAAGTAGAAGTTACCTGCATGCAACTCCACTTCTGTGAGAATGCCTGCAGCCCACAATTATATCACTGAATAAATGAAAGAATGTAAACCGTTATGATTGCAGTGTTGCTATCAACAGGTTCGACTGGATGCTAAACTACAAATCACAACTTGCATGGCTGAAGTCTATTACCTCTTACATCATATATAAACCTACAGTAGCTTTACAGTGTTACCAACACACAATTTAGAGTGGAGAAGGTTTGACTTTACAACAAGGTAGCTTGAGAATTTTATTATTTTCCGTGTACGACAGTATTATACCGGCCTTCCACTGTACTCTCACAGTGTCATGTAGCAATGGAAGTACTGTATATAAAGAGGCTGGGATCAAAATAGAAAAAGGTTAGCTGATCACAATCCTTTTTCAACAACAGTTTCACTCCAGAATAAGTCATAGTTATAGTTAAGTTATAGTTATAAGTTATAAAATACTATAACTATTGTCATAAAAGTGAAATTCTAAGGAGTCAACATTTGCAAACAGCTTCTTGTAATTACTTTTGTTGTGTCCTCTGTCGAGCTAATCTATACACCTTCATGCCCACATTGAAGGCACTTTGACTTTCTTTAGTGAAAACACATGGGAAACACTAC